TATGGTTGGACCAACTTGTTGGCACATTTTATATGCATACTTACGCTAACCTGTTCTACACAAAATCACTTCCACTTAGCCTTTCCATAAGCGTCTGGAATTGATGAATAGGTTTCACTGAGTCTCATGAACACGCACGCCACACACACACACACCATCTTTATGTGTCTGAACCTTCATCTTCATCCTCTTTACGTGGTTTGGGGTAAGTGATATGGCCCACTTAAGTCATCTGTACTTTAACAGAAATAATTACTACTGAAGTCCGGATTTTTCAGACACTTAAATTACTATCCTAGCTTTGATTTATTGAAGTGAGTAGTATTTATATAAAAATGGTAGGCGTTGTGAAAGTTATCATTTGCCCTTTAGTTGACTACAGGCTTCACAGAGGGGAAGGAACATCAAAGTGAGACAAGTCGAGAGGGAGAGGGGGAACAGAAGAGAGTTTCAAAGATGTAAAAGAGACAGACACAAAAGTAGAAAAAGGTGAGGTGAGTACTGCGGAAGTAGTCGAATATGACATACAGTGGGGTGGTGGTTGTTTGTAGTCAGAAGTCGACCTTACGGTTAATAGACTTTTTTGCCGTATGAGTATACGTTGCCCAGGGTGCACCACGTGGAGGTAGGTCTATCGCATACCCCTTGAAGCGAATAGTAATAGGATTAAAATGAAAATAAGCGAAAACCTAAGAAAACCATTAAAGGCGCTGTTTAAAATACGTGTAAAATTAAACAATAGCACATGTGGGGTTCTACGAAAGGTTACAATTTTTAATGAATAACAGTAGCATATGGATGAATAAAAAAGCCTTATTAATCATTTTTTCGTTTGATTATAGTTTTCTTGATTCTGTTACTCCAACAATTCCCAAAACTCCATACTAACGCGCAAATGCCTTATAGGAAAATATCTATTCAAAAGTCAAACGAGGCAGTGACTCTGTAATTTGGTCAATTTTAACAAATATTCGAATTTTATGAAAGATAAATGTTTTGTTGATATTTTAATTTCCCTTAGAAAAAAGCATTCATTTTTTAACCATCAATAATACATCCAATGGGTTCATAGATAACTTTAAAAGTTATTTTGGTGACATTCGCAGTCTTCATGTTTAATTATATGAACATTCTATTCAGTCGTCAAAATTCCTTTTTTTCAGGATCCGGTGAGAATTCGGAACTTTGAGGTGGCCAAATTCAGTATCGAGTGCATCAGCTTAAGTATTGTCTCCTTCTTCCTAGTTGAAGTTTTTCTCAAGCTCTGTGTGTTTGGAATTAAGCTTTATACTCACAGCTTGATTGAAACCATTGACGCCTTGGTGATCTGCATTAGCTTTGGCATTGACGTCTATCTCATTGTGACAGCCGGTCAACGTCATTCACCTCAAACTTTATCTGGAAGCAATTCTTCCACCTCGAACTCATCGACGGAAAGCATTAACTCCCTACCGGAAGCAGCGGGATTCCTCGTTTTGTTTCGACTGTGGCGTATTGTTCGCATTGCAAATGGTAAGTAAAAAAATTTGTTCGAGAAATACAAAAAGAGTTAATCTAAGATGACATCATACCTATCGGGTTCGCCAATACCACTTAATTTCAACTACTTTGACCTTACTGAACTAAAGTTTATTAATATCGAATGACAGGCCTTACGATGGTTATCATTAGGCCTTCAGTTGACTTCGGGCTTCACAAATGGGAGGAACATCAAAGTCACAAAAAGTCGAAGCAGAAGATTGATTCACTGTTGTAAAAGAGACAGACACAAAAGTAGAGAAAATAGGTGAGGAGGGTACTGTAGAAGTAGTCGAATATGACATACAGTCGGGTCAGAGTAATTTAAAGTGATAAGTCAACTGCTGATTTATGGACATTTTTGCCGTATGAGTGTATGTTGTCCAGAGTAAATTAAATCGAATATTGATTACAAGGAAGCAGTCACTCGTTACAGGGTTAGACACTAATCTTCCATTTCGGAAAAATTTTTCCGATAATCAGTTCTAAATTGAGCGAAATTATTTTATATTTGTATCACAATTAAGGCATCGATTTTATAGACTATGCTATCGACCTATAGCTTTCTCTTCAAAAGTATCCCAGATATAGTTCAGTATTTATTTTCATTTGTCAATAATTAGAAAATAGTGAGTTTAATTGAAATAACATTAATATATTATAAAATAATTTAATAAATGTATATTCAAAGAAAAATACCTCGAATCATTGGGTAATTTTATTACACTTTTACTTTATCAATATTCGATTTATTGTTTTCTTTCAATAAAAATGAACAATCTTCACCCAAGAGAAATGAAATTGTTATTTCAATTTTAATCGTTCTTAAAATTTGTATATTTTTAAAATTCATCAAATTGTAGAGTCTTTGCCATGTGCACTTTTGGAATAGAGCTTCTCTTTTAAGGCATTTATGTGCTATCATTAAGTTCGGCCTTTATGCCATTTTTTAGACTGTGGAGTACACAATCCTTAGACAATTAAACTAGACAATCTCATACACACGGTTGAACATTCTGGAGTGTGCGGCCGTGATACTCCTCCCATTCAGTAGCGAATGAGGTCACAAGTGTGGTGACTTCTCCACTAATCAATAGTCATTACAGGGTCGGTGTATCCAAAAGAGTGTTTAATGTCTAAACTCTGTGTCAATTTTCCATATAGGGAAGACATACCACACAATTAACCATGTACTTCGCATCACAGGTTCCTTTTCCTTTATGTTGTTGAGGTAGCTAAGCTAATTTCGAGAGTCAATCAATACTGGGGATTTTGTTAAGAATTATTCATGTAGGCATCCGCTACTTGCCTTATAGGTTTATAGCAGTTGTGGACCTGCAGAGAAGCTATTACAAATCACTTTTAGCAACAAGAATCCTAAAAAATTCTAAATTGACCTCACTGAATTCAAACTGCTTAAGACTGCAAATACTTATCTTTAAAATGACAACAAAATGAAGAAATTTCAGAGCCCATCGCACAGCTCACGATGCATGCTAATCATAAAGCTTCCTAGTTACTTGTGAACAGCATTCTTAAACGTATTCACTTTTATTGGAGTGGTATTTAAATTTCAACATCTACTATGACAAAGATTAAAGAGGATGTGAATTAGAATTTGCTTAATAAGTGAAAACTAATTAACCTAGTTAACCAGACCTCATTAGATACCATTAATTATATGCCTTATAGTGAAGATTTGAAATCCATTTACATTTATTTCGCATACATACTTTGCCACAAAATTGTTTTTTTCTAACATTTCAGCTATTCTCATCTCGGTGTCTGCAACCCAGGAGACAAAAATCAATGAATTAAAAGCTGAACGTGATAAGGCGACCTATAGGGCAACTCAGTTGGAAGATTACATAATTTCTCTTGGTCATAATATTCCCTCTGAGAAAGTTTCACCAGCCCCAATTTAGGTCTTCCACGCATTTCTATACTCGCGCCAAAATCTCATACCACGATAACCTTAAACAAAAACACTGCTCGACTGTCAATCCGCTTTAATCATGGTCCATTTTAAAAAGTATTAGATGGTGATTCAGATACTTTGCTATATATATATATTTATTTATTAAATAATTTCATTGATAATAAAGCAATCTTCACTTTTTGAAATCACCCTGACAAAATTGCGGATTTGTGAAAAGAATGAATCACTTACCAGATACATGAGAAGTTGAATTCTTAGATTCTTGCATGTCATCTTTTCAGTGACTTATTGGCTGATTTCAATTTAATTAACTTGGGCATTTGGGTAGATGTGACATCAGTTTAATTCATGGGTCATCAGATTTTGAAACAACCCACCATATGCGGATGCCTATCTATGTAAAAATGGGTTGTTGAAGGGTATTTAGTTGAACATGTAAATTCTCCACAACTCAGAATTATTGACTGCTGATTAATGAGTATAGTTGCCATAGATTAAGCAAATTCTTAAAGCAAAGTGAAGCATGTTTTCTTATTTTAAATAATAACTATTTAAACTAATTTATTAAGTAATAAGTGTTAAATGAAGGTTGTTAATGAGTTAGCTAATCTTTGAATTTTGTTATTACTTCGTGAATAAAAGCTTCGAATTCAGTAATAAATTTTTGCTTTGATTAAGTCACCATGCAAATGTCATTATTGATTCTTTGAATATATTGCCTTCAAGGATGCCATCTGTTTAATGATGATTTTAATGATACTTGAAGTTCCATTCCTTCCATTTAAGGACAAATAAATGCTGAAACAACGGTTCTATTATTTGGCTACTTAAAAAGACAAATTCCTTCCCTTAAGCTATATGACACATTAGTTTCGAAATAAAATCTTGACTCACACTTGTAAGCCTTTAAACATGGCGCTAGATTGAGGAAAAAATGCCTATTTCATTGCTGTTGAATTAATCGGTGTATCAAAAGTTCAATAATCAGTTTGGGGTTTCTTAAAAGGTGCCTTTTACTTTCAATTATTAAATATTTAAGTTTATTATAGATAGCATTTTACCAACTGCATCAAATTGTTAAAGCAGGAGAATAAAGGAGAAAAAAATTAGAGCTCATAGAGTATAAAATTTTTTACAAATTTACAACTAATATCCTAATTTCAAACTACACCATTTAACAGCCCTCAATAATTCATATTTTTAATTTTTTATTTCAAAGTAATTAAATCTTGCTGAATGAAAAGCAAAGCTAGCATTGGTATAAATATTGTGAGATAAAAGGAATTTTCTTCCAGAAATACGTTCATTTCATAGTAGTGATATTGCCGGGTTGATTGGTTGTTAGTTAGCTAGACTAACGTATTTTTTATTCATTACTTCAATAATGTCTTCAAATCCTTGCGTTTTTCTTGCTATCTGATTCAGCTGTGCGTTAACTTGGAAATCTAATTATGTTTTTATCAAGTGTAGAAATTTGGCGTTCCTGGTTTCAGTCGCATTCAACTAAATAACTGGGTGTTTATATATTTACTTAAAATTATTTGCTACTGCAATGTCAGAATGTGCTATACATACTATTTTGTTCAGTGGGCATAAATTGATGTTTGCCAAACTCACAACCCGCGTATGAAGCACTGTAAGGTCACTACTATTTCA